GTCAATAACTCGACGTTATATTCCCGTTTTCGTCATTCCAGTTACATAATGGAAACGACACTCACCACGTTATTAATTTCCATAATCGTCATTGATGTTACAGAAACGACAATTATTAATTTTCATCACTGGTTCGATGGCTGGACACAAATAACCGGTGAGATATTACTGCCATCATCACGTCAGCGACAGAACCGAAGTCGTAATATTTCTGTCATAAACTCGGTGACAGAAAACCAAATAATCCACCGTGAAACGACCATCATCATCATTTTAGTGAAAGAACAAAAATAACCTGGGATGATTTGATTGTAATTGTCAGTTTGGTGACAGAATCTCAAACAACCAGTTTTTCGCATTACTATGGTAACAAGCTTAATGACAGAACCAAAATAACAATTTTTATTTGTTAACATTGTAACATTGTTAACTGTCCTAGACAGCCGTTAGAAATAAATAACGGCTGTGATGTGGCTTTATCATGAACTCAGTGACAAACCAAACATATCCAGTTTTTACATAAGTCATGATAACTAGTCCAGTGACAGAACCCAAGTAATCAATCATTTTTACTGTCACCATCTCAATGACAGTCTAAAAAATTCAATTTTCACATTATTCAAGATAATTAATCCAGTGACAGAATCCAAGCCATCATTCTTTACTGTCATCATCGTCTCAGCAAAATACCTAACATACCCAGTTTTAACGTCACCCATGACCAGTGGTCGAGCTCAAATAATCAATTATGCTATGATGTCATCATCAGATCAGTGCATAATTAAACTGTCAGTCTTCGCATAATATTAATTGTCAGTTCAATAGCAGAACTCAAACAGCTTAAATATTAGTGTCTGCATCGGTGAAGTAACAGACACAATAAATAATAAGGCGATATATGAATATATATATAGCGACATAAACCAGTTGTCACATTATCATCTTCTTCAGTTCAATGACACAAACTAAGTAACCAGTTGTAATGTTACTGTCAACACTAACTTAGCGGCAGAACCAAAATATGTCGCAGTACTGGTATCATAAGCTCAGTAACAGAATCCTGATCAAGCATGATGTAGATATAATTATCAGCTCTCTGAAGAAGCAATATGTTAGTAAGAATTACGGCGTTTCACCAAGTACCGACGGTTTCAAGTATGAATCATTCAAAATGTTTTTTCGTAGTATAACAGTCATTCGAGAATAACCTGCTGTGATGTTGTTGGCATCATCAGCTCACTGGTATAAATCAAATAGCCAGCCGTGATATTATTGGCATCATCAGCTCACTGGTATAAATCAAATAGCCAGCCGTGATATTGTTGGTGTCATCAGCTCACTGGCAGAACCCAAATAACCAGCCGTGTTATCACTGTCACCATCAGCTCACTAGCAGAACCAACTAGCCATTCGTGTTATCCCCGTAATCATCAGCTCACTAGTAGAACCAACTAGCCAGCCGTGATATTACTGTCAACATCAGCTCACTGGCAAAATTCAAATCTGTGACAGATACATAAAAAAGTAATAATAAAGAAGAATCGTCATACACTTAATTGTAATGATCAGTTCTGTGATAGAACTGTCGCACTATTATCGTTTTCAACTCTGTTATACTAGGCATGCTGATGTCGTCAGCATTTCGGCGACAACTCAAAAGTTAACCTATTACAGCTATACACATGTATATATACTGAAATCATGCTGCCATAACCATCACTGTTGTTTACACATCGTCGAGTCATGATACTGTGATCTGTCTATTTTAACGTTCAGCCAACTCTTGTCAGCAATGTCTTCTTATGTGAAACAACCACTTAAGAATTTTGTTAACCATTGGGGTTGTTTGTTTTGTTTTACATCTATAAAATCATGCAGCAATAGCTCTTTCAATATTTACTTACTGATTTTTCTTGTTGATAACGAAAATCAAACATATAAAAAGGCTTTCTGTATTGGTTGCCTTAGAAACTTAGCCCCATTGATGTTCTTGGCGCCAATCAAAGAACCAAACTCGAATACTATTTATACAGTTCTTTTCTTTCTGTTTCGATGAATGTTTCTACATCTGAAATTGTTTTCCAATTATACAACCTTATAAGTATATACATATAACTCTCACGTACAAACTTATCATTTATGTCTTGCGGATTTTAACACGGATTTACTGTAACTGTTAAGGTTTGGTAAACGTGATGTATTATGTGATGTCGTTCACATTTCTGTTACTACTTTGTTTCTAATGATTTTATAAATACAGTTTGACCACGTGATATCCTCGCACAAATGAATATTAATATAGCCACAAACAACAGTATGGGTGATACATGCATTGCTAGTCGGCTGATTCAAGCAAAAAAAAAAAAAAGAGAGAGAGAATTTGAAATTTTCAACCCGAATGGCGCATTATATACACGTGGGTTAAACAACCAGTTCTGAGACTACTAGGATTCAGGTTTAGCCTTTCCTAATTTTCGAATTATGATCAAAAAGAACACCGACAGCTAGCGTCACCCGCCGCCACAATAATTCTTATGACTTTTTGAACCCAATAATGGAATTTACTATCACTTTTATAATGTACTCACAGCCGAAAATGAGAAGTCAACAACTTTCACTCAAGTCTCACGGATGTGACGTCCATCTTACGATCTCACTTAAATGGCTGCTCTAAAATCATGAAAAACGAACTAATTAAGAACTCGATCGGGTTACATCCTTTCAGAGTTACTGTTATTACCAGGAATAAAAATAATTTCAAAACCCGCTACATTTATGATATGTACGTTTAATGAATCCCTGCTATTCATATCCTGTATAGTGCAATGAGTATACTGAAGTATATTTATGTTCTTAGATAAATAGAAACACCCTACTTGCACTACGTCTTTAAAACAGTATTACTTTGCACGTAAAGTCATTATTCTACCTCAAAAAAAAAAAAAGAAAAAAAAAGAAGCTTAAAGAGCGTCCAGGGCTTCTCCCCCTGGACCACCACCGGGAGGGACTCTACCTCTAGACCCTGCTGGGGTATTCAGATGCCCCTTCCCTCCAGTTTTGGGAAGGTTAGGTTATTGATTTAAAAAAAAAAAGCTTACATCTCGCTAAATTGTGGAGCGAGTTCATCGGCTCATGTCTCGAATCCCGGACTCTTCGATTCGCAACTAAACACGATAACAACTTGGCCACACGCACGTGATTAAAAGGTTTACGGGAGAAAAGTGAACCGCGAGTTTGTAAGGAACGGTGGAAATGGAAGTGGCTGGTGAAGGGAAACGTTCCACGGACGTAGGTTAATACAAATAATTGACAGTGGGCCTATAAATTACGAATATGGATAAAAGCAGAGTTATTCGGAAGTGTGAGAATGTAAAACTAATAAAACTCCACAGAAATACAACTCTGTTCACACTTTTTTTAGATAAGCGTAAAATCAAATGAATGAATACATCAGTAACTACTTAAGCTACAACGAGGCCCGGCATGGCCAGGTGGTTAGGGTTCTCTACTCGCAATCTGTGGGTCGCGGGTTCGAACCCCTCTCACACCAAACATGCTCGCGCTTTCAGCT